TAATAGGAAAGCAAAATCATACTAATATGTGTAAATTCATTCTGTGTTGATGATGACAAAATCTTATGAGGTTTTCTCATATGTGGGCCAAAATTGTGATAAGAATGACCATTCAAGTTTGAATTTGTCTTAACTGAATACTTAAGATGATTCTCTTCCACACACAGAGAAAAACCTGCTTCATGACTATGGACATAATAAACCTTTTGCTGGAATTAAAATTTCCTCTTTACCTAACAAGCTCTCTCTCCTCTATCAAAATAAAAATCTTGGCAATTTTAGTCTGGATCTGATTTTGGCTTACTAGAAAGTATTGAATTCATAGGATTGAAGTTCTGTTTACTTCTAGCTTAAATATTAATCATAGATATATTGCATCAAGGGAATTTGTAACAAAGATTGGATAGTTTATTCAAACTCAAAACGAACAGCTAAGATAAACTTTTATGTACTTGTATTAACCTTATTTCCTTGATAAGCTGGAGATTATTTTAAATGTGTTATAAAATTACTTGCACACATTCAGAAGTCATAAAAAAAAAAGTTCCTAATTCATTCACAAAGTCATAATTTTCTGTTTTAAGCCATGTTGTATAAGTAAGCAGTGGTGAAACTGAGGTTTAGGTAAGAATTGGTGCCTGCTGTACCCTTAACCTAGGTAGGCCTGCACTTCTGACTGCAGTGATTTGAACAGCTCATACACCTGTGTCTTCCACTGTGTCTGTTGCCAAGTGACCTATAGACCTTTCTGCATGTATGCTAGCATATTTTTTTTGCTCAATCACAAGCTGAGCAATCTGGCACCTATGTCATTCTTGTCACTTTATTTGTATTTGTTATGATTGGGTTTTACACACTGTAAACAGCATCAGTGGGGATGCTTTTGCTTTTTGTGTAGAACAATTGATATAAAAATGACTGCAAGATGATATGTGGTTGGGGAATGCATGTCAGTCATTCGCAGTGAACTGTGGTTAGTGGATGAGCAGTGCATCATGCTGTTGATGTCTGTGTAAAAGATGCACCAAGGAATGACAATTGGAAATATTAAGAATATTTTGAAAAGCAGGAGACAATAAAGCTGAAGTTAATACATTTGCTGCCAATTTCAGGGGCTGAGAAATCTTGCTTTTTTTCCTCCTGTTGGAACAGACCGCAGCCACATGTGTCTTGCTGTGTTCTTGATAAATGTTCCTAATGTGAGCTAGCAGCTGGGGTCAAATTCACTTTCATAAACATATATGTTTATCACAATTTGGGTTGCTGTATAGCACCTGGCTAAACCTCCAGCTACTCTAGCAGTCTGGTGTGGGCCTCATTGGCTCTATGGATGTCTGGACGTATTAAGATACCGCTAGATGCCTATATTGATGTGCTTGAATTGAACTTCAATTTCTTTATAGTCATTTCATTTATAGTCATTTCTTTATAGTCAACAATAGTTTCTTACCTTACTTAAACATTTGTAAATCAGCTTTTGTGGATTATTTCTTGTTACAGTTGGGTGAAAACCTAGCTTAGCTTGTATGTATGACAGGTCTCTCCTGTTCCTGACATACGGTGATATGGTTAGCTTGTAGTAGGGTAAATATCCATACTGTGTAAGCAGACTGTGAATTTATAACTCTGTCCCCTTCTCCCTCTCCTCTCTGGCCACAGAACTGTGTGGTCACCCACTGTCGGAATGATAAGTGCAATAGAGATACCAAGACTCAAGTGTGGGGGACTCCAATCAATGTCTGATTAAGCCCATCAGTGTTAGTATTTCCCAGCTGCTGTGTTACTAGGATGTGGTGACCCCTATCTTTAAACAGGGAAACATGAAAATACACATAGCACTGCCTGGTGTTTTAAAGTCAGGCAGCTCCAAGCCCTAAGTGGGACTTAGGCTGGAATTGCTGCTAGAGAGCAAAGCCTATGCTGTCCCATGGCCGAGGATGCCTCCACCAGTATCTTACTCCAAGGACTGAATGACTCATGATTTTCTATGTAATGTGTGACTCCAGGTCATGATTATAATGCATGCTGATTGATAGGAATTTGGATCTGAAAAGAATTCAGGTGACATAAAGGTCCATGTAACACAAAATTTTAGAAAATCTGTGGAAATATAAGCAACGCTAAGAGCTACAAATTATATACAATAACCTACACTGATTGTTAATTATTTTATGCAGTGATAAATCTCTAATTATAACCACAGCCCTCAGTCTGAGAAGAAACCCTAAAGAACGTGCTGGTCCTCTGTATTGTCAGGTCACAATTAATTAGTTTTTTCAGATCTCCCAGACTTGGAGTCTTGAATTTGTATAGGTATTTAGTTACTGCTGTGTGGTTATAAGAGGGGTATACAGATTTTTGTTTGTTTAGTCAAAAGGATTGCATGTCCTTAGCTGTTACGCTTATCCAAAACCTGTGTCTTTTCCAGTAGTAGTCTTCTCAGATTGTGATTGGAGATTGTGTGGTGTATGTGTGCAGTTGGGGTGTAACTTCTATTTCCCAGATTTCATATTTTCTTTCTGTGCTGTGTAGTGGCTCATGTCTGTTTGAGCAAGTGAAATACAGAATGGGAAGGAAAGAAGGCTTTCTGATAATCTGCTTATTTAAGTATTTGTGTTGCTTCAAGCACAAGTGAGACTAATTCACATTTAAATTAAATATATGAATGATTATTTGTATACTGACCACAGTTTTTCCTTTTTTTTTTTAGTTATTATTTCTATTGGCGTCAAGAGAACCAATTTCCAATGCAATGCAAGTAGCATAATATTTAATTATTTTAATAGATTTGACACAAGGTTGTTTATAAGTGCTCTTTGGTCTCCGAACTTCACCATTATCTAACGTTTTTTAGTCTGTAATCTAGACATTATTAAGCATTTATTTAAGAAGACAAGATTTTGTTCTCAAGTATAGCATGTGATATTTAAATGCGGGAGGCTATTAAGTTGAGTAGCTATACAGTTGAGTCATTCACTTTCAAATAGATTAATGGAATGATTGTACAGACAGGAAAAAAAACAAAACACCTTGCTCTGCAACTAGGTTTTTAATTCCTTGTTTCGTTTTATTTCTGCATAGTTTGCTGTGTGTTGCTTAATAAGATGAGGATTCATTTTCAGTTTCAATTTTCAACTTAGGGTCAACAGTTGACCCTAAATGATGTACAAGAAAAATCAATACATCTGAGAAATAGAAGGAAAGAACTGTGAAAATTGAAGCGTTTTGTTCTTAACTCACCTTCTCAGCTTGCTGGCAGTGTATTACCTGGCAGTGTAAAGCAAACAAGGTTTGTTTTTTTTTCTTCCTGGTGCTAGCCAGCTTATCGCTTTTTAATGCCAAGCCAGTTGCGTTTCTTCTGATTCAGATGCATAGTGTGATGCATTTGATGTGTGTTTTATGACTTTCTAGGTTACTCCTAACATTTTCCGATTAAGTATGATTGGCTGAGAAGCATTTGTACATCAGCTGTTATTATTTTTCTCTTATGTTTGTGCAAAGAACTTTTTATAAATAGTTTGCTACTCTGTTGAACAGAGCAGACAGGTGCACTGGTTCTCTAGCTTTTCTTTTGGCTCAACATCTTTTCTGGTTATTGAAGGAAAAGATGAAAGAGATTGTTCTGGCAGGCAGCAATGCATGTCTTCTGCACTGTTATGTGGTCACACAATGATATAGGTGCAGTGATGTTTCTCATTTGATTTCAGATCAGAACCATCTGCTGATCTCGGGACAAGCAGATTACTAGGTTAAGCAGTGAGCATTTGTCAGACTGCAGAGGAATGTCACTGGGTATACTGCAGCCGTAGGCTCTGCTTTTCTTTCTTCATTGTCTTTTTCTTAGTACCTATATTGTCTTACAATTTAAATGCTGTTGCTTACATCCTAAGTATTCAGAAAGTAAGGCAAGGTGCCCATGAATAATTTCAGTATTTTATTTTCCCTATAAAAATATTTTTGCATAGCAAAAGATATGGTGACAAGATAAGTCCCTGATCTCTCTAGACAAATGTCATAAATGCAGCTACTTTCTTTCATTACTTTTGTCTTTCACTGCTAACATGATAATAATAAGCAGTCCTTTAGAGGTACAGAAGGCAAAAAAATGCATGAAAAGGAAATTAAAGGATGGGTAACAACAGTAGTTTTGTTCCAAATGAGGCAACTCAAAAAGATAAACAGTCTAGTAGAAATACCTCTGTTCAGGATCTTCGTAAAAATGAAATCAAGAGCTAAAAGGACTGTTCGTCCTCTGTGTGGTGTCAAATTAAATGTTATTGACCTCCTTCAACGATTTATCATATGGAGAGGACAGGAAGGATTGTATACTGTTATTTAAAAAAAAAAAAAAAAAAAAAAAAAAAAAAGAGTTTTGAAACAATAAACACCTTTCACTGGCAAAATTCAGCCTGAAGTTTACTCTTGCCAGAACCCCCTTGGAAATCCAAGAAATCAAGTAGGTGTGTTCTGCTTGAGTAATCACATGTAAATGCAAATATGCCAGCAGCACTATAATAATGACTGTAGTGTCTTTTGAAAGCACTCTGAAGCTTCCGTTCAAAGATCCTCTTAAATAATTAATTTTTTTTCCCCAATTTACATGGAATATGTAATGACATCCCTGAGAACCAGATTTCCTTCCTTTCTTTTCTTTCCCATTCAAGGAATAAGTACAGCATTTTAATTAAGTCAGTGGTTGCTAACCTGTAATGTAAACTGCCAATGGAAAAGAAAGTTGATGGAAGAATAGGTCTAGATAGTTCTTTGTTGTAAACCTCAGTAACCTTTTCTGAATATAGAAGGGACAGCTTGAAGGACCCACATATCTCTGAAGTGATCATAGAAGGCTGGCTTTCTCTCGGTGAGACAATATACTTTCTTATTCCTGGGAGAGTGCTATATGATCATTTACGCTATCCTGTTTGTTAAGACTGGCTGGTCAACTGGCTGCATGTATTTGTAATCTATTGTTGTTTCTTTTTTTGTTTGTTTTTTGGCAGATACTGAACGTCTCTATACATTGGTATTTGAAGAGATATGTGGGCGTTTTGGAAAGACCTATACTTGGGATATAAAATCATTAGTCATGGGTAAAAAAGCACTAGAAGGGGCACAGATTATTCGAGATGTTCTAGATCTTCCAATAACCAAAGAGGAATTACTACATGAAAGTAAAATGAAGCAGGAGAAGATATTCCATACAGCTGAATTGATGCCAGGTATGCTTCTCTTTAGTATTTATAAACTGCTTATGGAATTAGCTAACTGCTAGCCAAAGTAGAATTTTTTAATCTGGTGTCAGTAAAAGTTCCTCTTAGAGACTCAGTTTCATCTCTCTTGCTTTAGCAAGTTTTATTCAAATCTGTTACTTGTGAAAGATATTTTGTCTGTTAAAAGTACTGATTTTTTTTTTCTTATTTACTTGAAACAGCTGCTCTTTATGTGTTTTAAGTACAGAATAAAAAGCAATGTGAATATGCCCAAGTTCAGTTTCATAAACTAGGAATTCTTTAGAATGGTTACTGGCAACTGTGTAGCACAGTAAGTCATTTTTCTCTAGTCCAACTTTAAGCACAGATATTCTTTTTGATGTACAGGTAAATGTATTTGCCCATTTTTATTTTTTTATGAATCTCATTTATGATATAAACTCATGCATTATATTCCATTACATTTACATGTGGAATGCTTAGAGAAGAATCCTCATCCATAAAAACATAAGCAATATTTAAAGCTAGGACTGCTGTTAACTTTTTCTAAGAAAAGAAAAAAAAAGAAAAAGTCCTGGAGCAAATATCAATAATTAATGGGGGAAAAAAAGAAGGAAGTGTGGGAGAAATGAAAAAAAAAAAAATATATATATATATATATGTGTATTTAAATGAAGTCACTACATGTCACTAAAACAATTCCAAAGGGACTTTTTTCTCTTTCAACGTGTGTTTGTTTTTTTTGTTTGTGTGTTTGTTTTCTGGCAATTGCTGCAGCACGTTAATTATATCATTTTAATTTTTAGATCCTTTTTTTATACCTAGTCCCATAAGGCATTAAGAGGTTAATTGTTAAAAATATGTGATGTGTTAAAACCGAATAAAAAGAAGCAGAAAGAAAATATGTATTTGCTTAGGTAACTAAAAATTTGAATCTCCTGCTCAGCCAACTTATCTGCATGTCTCTCTGATGCTTTTTACATGCAGCATTTTTGCAACTGTGCCTTTCTCACATGTAGATCCAACTAAGACTGTAAGCCTAGTTAAGCTTGCTAGGTAAACAAAAATGATGCGGGGATCTGTTTTCTCATTTTTTTTATGTCAAACTTCTGCAGATTGTTCTCATGCAAGACAAAGAAAACCTTTGTCTGGGTTTAAAAAATGTTGGATAGATAGATCGGTGGTGGAAGTGTTAGAAATCACAGAGGAGAGTCACTTTAATGGAGCAGCACATGTAGTAGATGCCACTGAGTGAATAGTCTATATTTGCTGGGGATTATGTTAATGTCAGTGAAGTAGCTTGAATACAGATGCAGAGAGGTGATAGAATAAATTAGCAAAGGAAACATTAAGCTTTGCACTGTTTCTTACTTCAAAAAATGAGTTCTGGGCTTGCTTGTCTATTATAGATGAATCAAGAAAAATTCTTACTGAGGCAAACGTAGACATTTTTATCATTGCCAGAATTGTTCAACTGGTTACTCTTTCAGTTCAACTGTATACATGGGATAATTTTCTTCAGACAATTCTCTAAAGCAGAATTAATGTTAATGTAAATACTTAATTCTTTATGCCAATGTGAGGATCAAATGCAGGCTTAGTCACTGAAGCAATGGGATTTGTACTTTGTACCAATGTATGAGATAGAAGCTGAATTGCCATGAATTTTAAGAAAACCAGATTGATGTTAGCTATTAATCTAGAAAAAATTGCACTAGCTACTTAGTATTAATTTTATTTAAAGACTAACCTATGCTTCATTCTGATAGCTATAGTTTTTTAATTGATACCTTTCTCATGTACTTTTATATCTTCTGAGAACATTATTTAATATAAGCCTCGTGGATTTATTCTGCTGCTTTTTAATATTCTTTAATTAAGAATGAACATCATGCAGGTGTTGTCTAAGATGTAAGGTAATGGTGACATTTTAGGTTTACAGTGTTCTCTGACTAATCTGGTGTTTCAGATTGTAATCAGGAAATACAGGAAAGTAAAAGTGAATTGTCTTGATATTGGAAGGAGTAAGGTTATTCTGACATGACGAGCCTCTATCTGGTCAACTTGACAGCTATTAGGCAGGTGGCATTCTAATTTCAATCTATTTTGACAATTTTTTCTGGGAAATAAGATTTGAATTTTGTTTGATAAAGAACAGTAATACTTATGCATCATATTTATTTCTTAATATCGTATTTATTAATGGTATGCATTATTTCCAGCAGTGATAAGTCTGTTAATTCCCAATCAAGTAATTGACAGTTATGTTATTGGTGGTTAGGGATGGTATAGAAGTGTTGTTGGACAGTGTTTATCAAAGCCATGCCTCAGCATAAAAGCTTTCAAAGATACTAGTATCTGAAGGTGCAGATTGCAAGATTTCGATATAGCTAGGCTGACCAGCAAGCCTCAATATATCAAATTCTAGTCAAATAGAGTTTTAATCTACAATGAGAAGAGAATCTATAGGTGTACTGTTAACATAAACCTGGAATATATGCACAGCCAGAAAAATCTACCTCCAAGTTACACAGCTGTCAGTAGGTACTATTGCCATGTCAAAGTTAAGAAATTAATGCTGTTCTTTCATACTTGTCTCCTTTGTTTTTAGTTCAGCATCATTACAAAGCACAGATGCTTGAGGATTGTGTGGTGGTGTGCTTTTTTCAGAAATTTTCCCCTCCTGGGTCATCTTTGTGAGAACTGGGATTTTTTCCTTTGCAGTTCCTTTTCAGCCATTGCAGAATGTGAAGTGGAAACCATCTTCCTGTTCAGACTATCTCTTGTAGTCTGGAGTAGATATTTTCAAAGCTTAGTTTATTCACTTACTGAATAAAGTGAATTAGAAATTACAAGAAGAGAATTAGTACAAGTTTCAATAAGAACTTATTCTAGAGCTGTATGTCTTCTTTTTTTCTATTTAAATCTTAACAGTTCTAGTCAACCAGCATTCTAGTTTAGTTTGCTTAGCTATTATTTCCTCAATCAGCATCTGTGCCCTTTACAGTTAAACAGACTTCCTACCATGTTTTCTTTTCCTTGATATTATTGTTTTAATGGTTAATTTTTTTTTTTTTTTTTTTTATTATTATTATTTTTTTTTTTGTGAGTCCGTTCTGGATTCAATGAACCTGTAACTCCAAAATATCTATCAATTAACTGCTGCACACTGGGAGTGATCATGTCTGTTTGGCTGATTTCAAACATTTGGCCTTTGCAGTAAGTCCTGAAGAGCTGCAACCCCAAAATGCTTTTACCAGGAAATCATAAATACAGTTGAGAGAGATTTCAAATTATGTAAAATTTAGCAGGTTGTTGTTTTTTTTTTTTTTTTTCCCCGTGGGCTTACCTGTGTCAGAATGTCTAGACTATGACAAAATTAATGGCTTGATAAACAAGGAGACCCAATGTCTCTAGAAGAATCTTTGGTGCTCTTTAGAGAAAAGTAAGATGAGAAGATAGAATTCTTCATTATAGTCAATTATTTTTCCAGATGAGGAGTAGGTTATTAGTTTCCATCTATACTTCTGAAACTCAGTGAAAAGATAACGTACCATTACAAATAGCTTTTTTTTAAAAAAAATGATGTCTCGGAACAAAAACGAAACAGGTGGATATGAGAGATATATTCCCACAGTCTCACGAGATTCGTGGCAATTACACCAAGTGTTGGATAGTCCCACCTCCATCACTCTATCACCATCATGGCAGCAATGCTGAATTCACCTGAGGATAAAGAATGTGCTGGTAATGAATAGCACTGTTCTGATGGGCTTGGAACTCTTTTAGCACATAAAAATATTTTAAAATCAGTTTGTGGCATAGGTGAACAGTCAGCTTTTATTGTTCTCAGTAAGATTTATTTTCTCTTTAAGTATTTTTTATGCTTTGTTGCAGTTGAGATTTTTACTGTGAATTGCTTTTAAGATCTTAAAGGATTATTGTTGAATTGGCTAAAAATCCAATCAACTTGACTAAACCCTGAGTGGCAACGTTAGCTTTTCTTTGATTAAAAAGGGTGATGAAATCTTGAAAAGCTTTTATTTGGATCTGATGTTACATTTAACACAGGAACTGTAAATGATTTTTAAAAGAAAGAGTAGTCTTTCTAGACATAAACTATATTTAAGATTTCTATTTGTTCACAACTGGCCATAAATCATACAAGACAAGCATAATGTATGTACATACTTAATTTAAACATGTGAAGCACTTCTTCTTTAGCCATTTTCTCAGAAGTGAATGTTTTCTTTCTAATGTCCACTGAAGCCTCACAGACTACTTCTTCTGTGTAATCACTTGTAGACTTGAGTGTGGGTGTCTAAAGTGCCTTGTTTTTTGTGACCCAGAGATCAGGTGTCCTCTACACTCATGCTGTTAGTGTGAGTAGAAAGCTGTCTCTGGCACAGTGAATGAGGAGCAACACTGTGTGATGTATTTGAAGAACTTCTTGGGGTGCTGAAGGTCAGCAAGAAGAGAGTGAAGTTGTATTTGTGCTCATAATTTGCTGGCAAGTTATGTGAAGAAAGTACATGGTGACCTGTGTATCTCTTCCAACAAAAATTTCAGTGCACAGGGCAAAAATCTGTTGATCAAGATCATTCTCTAAAAAAGAGTCTGTGGCCATGTTGTTTCTTCCACAGAATATTCTACCTCTCAGCTACAAGACTTTTCAAGCACAGTTATATTGTCATTGGCTACATAGTGTAGATAAACTCTGGAATTACAGGGGACTGCATAACAGTTAAACTGTTAATTGGATGTCATTAGTATATGGATGGCACAGAGAGATGGATGAGAGATAGAGTACATAGTTATGGTCATGAAAGAATTGGTCACTAACAATGCCACTGTTTATTCGAAGCATAATTTAATTTAATTAGGTTTTAGGTGTTACAAGTGTATTATTAATTTTCACATCATAATGAATAATGCCATTTCAGTATAAAATGTCATAACTAAAGAGGTAAGCAGTGAGCTTCAATACAGTCTAAGACTCATAGAGGTGCTACTGAAGCGTAGGTTGGATGAACAGACAGTGAGGTGGATCAGAAAGACTGGGGGGGCAACCAGGGCCAGAGGGTAGTGGTCGGTGATGCAAAGACTAGTTGGAGGCCAATAGTGAGCAAAGTATCTCACGGTTGAATAGTGGGTCCAGTCCTGCATTAATGATCAGAATGTTGGGATGGAGTGCACCTTCAGTAAATTTGCAGATGACACAAACCTGGGAAGACTGGTATTCTTGTCTGCATAGAATCACAGAATGGCCAGGGTTGGAAGGACCTCAAGGATCATGAATCTCCAACCCTCCTGCCACATGCAGGGCCACCAGCCTCCGCATTTAATACTAGACCAGGCTGCCCAGGGCCCCATCCAATCTGCCCTTGAACACCTCCAGGGACAGGGCATCCACAACCTCCTCTGGGCAGCCTGTTCCAGCACCTCACCACTCTCATAATAAAGAACTTCCCCGTGACATCCAACCTAAATCTTTCCTCCTTCAACTTAAGAGTATTTCCCCTTGTCCTGCAGTTGTCAACCTTTTCAGAGAGTTGGCTCCCTTTAGGTACTGAAAGGCTGCAATTAGGTCCCCCTGCAGCCTTCTTTTCTCCAGCTCCCTCAGCCTGTCTTCAGAGGAGAGGTGCTCCAGTACCCTGATCATCTTTGTGGCCCTCCTCTGGACCCTCTCCAACAGCTCTCTGTCTTTCTTGCACTGGGGGCTCCAGACTGGGCTCTAGACCTGGACACAGTACTCCAGATGGAGCCTCACAAGAGCAGAGTAGAGGGGGACAATCACCTCCCTGTCCCTGCTGGCCACCCCTCTTCTGACAGAGTCCATGATACCATTTGCTTTCCAAGCTGCAAGAGCACACTGCTGGCTCATGTTAAGATTTTCATCTGTCAAGACCCCCAGGTCCTTCTCTGCAAGGCTGCTCTCAAGGACCACTCCTTCCAGTCTGTATGGATGCCTGGGATTCCTCTGGCCCAAGTGCAAAACCTTGCACTTTGTGTGTTGAACCTCATTAGATTCACCTGGTCCCACCTTTCAAGCCTGTTGAGGTCCCTCTGAATGGCATCCCTACAAACAAAATATGGCCAGTATGTCCAGAAAAATGATTCTTCCCCTCTGCTCAGCATTGATGATGCTGTTGCGCCAAGTTCTGAGGCCCCTAGTACAAAGCGAGACATGGATGTACTGAAGGGAATACTTCAGGGCCACCAAAGCAATCAAGGAGCTGGACCACTTCCCTTTGAGGAGAGGCTGAGAGCTAGTGCTGTGCCTGGAGAACAGAAGGAAGGGAATCTGAGTTCCTGAACTTTTGTACTTCTTGTTTGTACTGGTCACTGAAAAGCGAAGTGTGATAATTAGGCAAAGGGTTTTGTTGTTCAAAATATTTGTTGAAAATATATCTGTAGTCTCAAGAGTAATAATTTCTTCCTATTGGTTTAGGTTTTATTTGTATTTATTTTTCCCCAAAAGTTTCTAATTTCATTGACGTTTGTGATTTATCTGTTTTTAAACATGCTGATGTTTAAAGTTGATCCTTCTTACTTTCAACTTACGTATCTGAATTTAGTGTACAGTTCTTTTCACCTAATCTTCTTTCCAGTAGTCATCGTTCTGTAACTATTACCCCAGAAATATAGTAAGTATCTGTGTCTCTTCTAAAACTTAATATTTAAGGGGATAGAAGAAATAACATTATTTATCTTTCTGGTTATTTAAAATGAAAAGAGTATGTTTGGAAATAAATCATAACAATGTAAGATGTTTCTTCCTGATATTATTACAGGAAAAATTATGCTGTATGGCCTGGGTTTTTAACTGTATGTGTACCACATCAGGAAAGTCTTCCATAACTAATACTGAAAAAAATGGAGAACTATGTTTCTTTTGATCCAGTAGGAGGAATAGAGGATGGTGCCAAGAAGCTTAACAGATAGGTCTCACTGTGGTGGATGGGTGTTGATACTCTATGTTATCTACTAGGAAGTGAGTGCAGAGGAGTGCACTCTATTTTTTTCTAATCCATTTTGCTGTTTTTGCACATATAATTTTAAAATAATTACTTGAATATATTTTTTCTGAAATATATTTTCTGAGTAATGTAAATCTTTGCTCTCTGAAGGTGTTAGGTACAGCTGTCTTATAGGTAGGAAAGTCAAAAAGTGAAGGTAAATACACACGCATTTATGCACTGAAATCATGACCTATGCTGAGAGCATAGAAGAGAGAACCTTGAGTAAATAACCTTTCAGCAACAGCACTTTTCTGTGGCTGGCTACCTCCAGTAGAAATGTAGAGTAAACATGCACTGACAGATGAGCTGAAGCTTTGAAGCAGCAGGGCTGAAGATAATTAGCAGTCTAAAGAGAGGTATCGTGTTCAGAATGCTGCTACGAAGAAACATTGAAGGCTTTGCATGGGAGATTCAAAACTTGCACTGAATAACAAAGCGTGTTTCCTTCTTACAGTGACTGCTGTATTTTCACCATTCTTGACATTAACCTTCGCTAGAAGTTTGGAGCAGATTAAAATTTCTATCTATTGTGGTCAAGATGTTCATTACTCAGGGTTCACATCATCAATAGATAAAGCTCTGGTTTTAACACCTGTGATTGACAGCTCCACTTTTCTGTCCAATTGCTTTATCTAGTAATTGTAAAAAAAAAAATACTAAGCACTCTTAGGGGCTGGTTTAAACCAGTTGGATAACTGTTTCAAAAATTAAAGACTGTGCCAGTCAGTGAGAAGAGCATATTTCTTTGATATTTATTTATTCTTTTTTTCCAAGAACATAACTCTAGATATGTTTGAAATAATAAATGCTTATAAAGTTGAGGACATCAAGTAAGCTTCTTATGGGCATATAGATGCAACGGCTTTGAAGTTATTTTCAGCATATTTTGAGAAAATCATCATTTGATGTCGTAATCATTGTATACTTAAAGAAATATTCTTTGATGGAACAAGAACTTTTCCACATATAGCAAGAAATCCCTTTGATACTAACCAGTCAGAATAGGTTGTTAAATTCAGTTAGACAACATTTTTGAAATATTGCTAAATATGTCATAAATTGGCAGAAATTTTAATACATATAACTGCAAATATGTATGTATAAATATAGAATAAAATGTACATATCTATTTGTCTTGCAGGGGTCAATAAACTGATCCAACATTTACACAAACACAACATACCAATAGCTGTTGCCACTAGCTCAGCTGAAGTGACATTTCAGATGAAAACATCCAGACACAAAGACTTCTTCAATCTTTTTCATCATATTGTGCTGGGAGATGACCCTGAGGTGAAGGGTGGCAAGCCACAGCCTGATGCATTTCTAGTTTGTGCAAAGAGATTTCACCCTCCTGCACCTCCAGAGAAGGTAAGGAAGGGATGGAACAAATTACCCAAATAATTTTCTTAATATTATAGATATTTAGATTAGGATTTTAAAAAAAATTTGAAAAATCAGCAATGTCTTCCCAACCCCCCACCCAGTGGTGCTTATATTGTTTAAGTTTGTTGGAAAGTGTTATTCCCCCTCACTGCATTATAATATTTGTAATGCAGATTACTCTGATTTACTGCATAGTACTGTGCATAGGAAAGTTCAGTGACTTTCCTCTCTGAATAAATCTTCAAATATGACTTCACTACTCAAAGTTTAGAAAGAGTTATTTAAACATGGATCAGCTCACTTTTCACACCTTCCTGGCTGATTTAGCTAAATATTGAAGATACTTCTTGATAAAGAGGGGTATATATTTTTTCTAAATCATCTTTTTACTTATGCATTCTAAATCTCTGAGATCATATTTCTTGTTTTCTGATTTAAAGACTGATAAGTTTGAGCAATCTGTAGCAATGTTTAGTTTCTCCTTCATATATAACTTCGCAAACTTGATTCTGAAATAGAAATCTGTAGGGAGAATATCTCGAAGATAAATTGGTAGTGAGAGTATGTGTTCACTTTTATTTCAAATAAAATTGTCATTCTCCTGAAAATATTTTTTTCACTTCTCATCTATCCTGAGTGAAACATGAATTCTGATGTTTTGGAGTTTCATTACAGCAATGCATTGCATACTGATTTTTAACTTTGAGTGTTTTAGACTGTGATTACTGATTTCTCTGTAGGATTGTTGAGGAAAAAAAGGTGTGTGCAAAGATATAAGGAATGAGTAGATAAAATTCTACAGCCTTTCATGTTCTAAGTTTTCACCCAGAGACCAACTGGTATTTGTGTTGTCTTGAAATGCAAAGTGAAATAATTTGCAATGAATGTGTCATAATATAAACAGTGTTAACTAAACTTTTTTTCCTCTTTTCATTCTGAATATGTGAATCAACTTCATTTCAAAAACATACCCCAATGTACTTGATCATTTGAACTGGAATTGTATAGTCTGGAGAAGAGGAGGTTTAGGGGAGACCTTATTGCTCTCTTCAACTACGTAAATGGAGGTTGTAGTTAGGTGGGGATAGGACTCTTCTCCCATGTAACTGGTGAAAAGAAGAGGGGTAATGGCCTTAGTTTGAGGTTCAGGTTGGATATTAGGAAAAAAAATTTTCTCAGAAAGAGTCATAATGCATTGGAACAGGCTTCCTGTGGAGGTGATGGAGTCACAACCATTGGAGCTTTTTAAGAAAAGGGTAGATGTGGCACTGAGGGGCATGGTTTAATGGGCCTGGTAGGGATGGTTAACAGCTGGACTAGACAATATTAGAATCATTAAGACTGGAAAAAGCCTCTGTTTCTACAAAGGGTCGGAACTCTCATGAAGAATCAGTGTGTCAAAAAAATTCCAAATGATTTAAATCTTTCTTAATTTAAAAGTGTATTTCCTAGCATTTTATTCCATTTCAAATTAATTAACCGATCTAACACTAATGAATATTCTCTGCATCAGATCTAGTAAGAGCTCATTAAAATTTTTCAGACTGATGAAATGGCATTAGAAGTTGAGAGTCTCAGTGGACTTCTTATATCATAGAAAAAAGAAGCCCAAAATGAAATTTCTGGAGATGCTATATCTTACAAAAGATATGATGAAAGAGTAATATAAATATAAATTCAGGACATTGTGATTTTGGTCCAATATTAGTCTATATTGCACAAGAAAACAGAGGATTTAGAAAGCTGGTATACCACATAATTACTGTGAACTTCTGTAAAAAAGAATATCAAAAACCAAGTTTTATTTCTTACACCTTTTTTTTTCTTTGTTTCCCTCTATTGAATCATTTCTATGAATCATTTCTACTGTGTGCATATAGTAGATGTATTTCAATCACTATGGTTTTCAGATAAGGAGTTATTTTATTAGTATTATTTTTGTCATTTTTTATGTATATCTGGAAGTTGAATTTATTAAGAGTACTCTAAATAAAACAGAGAAATTACAAAGGCATGAACAGTCATTCTAGGCAATGCACTGAGCTGTAAATTAGAATCCCTGCTGTTGAAATCATATATTTTAGTCATTTTGTCTGCCTATTTTCCATTTTGTAAATAAATTGACACATACTTTTTTTCTGAGTGCTTACAATTCAAAAATCAGCCATTTTATTTTAGAAGTAACAAAAGCATTAAAAGGAAAATAGATATTTTTCAGCGTAGTTCAAATATACATAATTAGCTGTCTCTTCAGCCTTTGCTCTAGTCTAGTTTTTTAATTAGGCCTTTTGTACCAATTTTTCTTCAGCCAAAACACTCTTTCAAATATTTATTTCCAATATCTGTATAATGTAAGTGTCCAACCTTTTGGATGCATTGAATGAAGAGGAACTATCTTGGACCAGTGTTTCAGTGGTTTGGCTGGACTGGTTGGTGGGGGAAGAGCCATGAATACGTTGGCGTGGTGGCAGGCCATGGGGCATGTTACTAGCTGTCCCACGTGTTGGACGTGTCTGCTGTAAGTCATTTTGACATACCCATGCTCTGTTGTCCGGTCTTCTTGGAATCTCAGTTTTTACCAGTTATTTTTAGCATGTTGCTAGATACTTGCTTTTTCCAGTGGAATAACCTCTGACCATAATGGTCTCAGTAAACCTGACTTTCAAAGCATTAGACTTCAGTCAGCGGGGTAAGTAGTAATGTTTGTAGTATATTGTTCTGGATGTGTTGAGAAGCAAATACATCTTGTGTCAGGAGCCACTTGCAGAGTGAAGAGGGAAAAATGTTTAATATTCTTTCTAGATTCTGGTAGCTTTTTAGATGAAAGACACAATTTTTTTTTGTTCACTTTTTTTTTTTTTTCTGAAGTCACTTTTCTATACTGGTCATTGGTGAATTTGGATAAAGCTGTTAGTAGATTGGAACCAGTAAAAAATATTCTGTGTTTTGCTGTCTCTCAGTGTCTCTATTATCCTTGCTGCATAGTGGCCAAATTCCTTATGAAATAGAAAAGTCCCTTCCTTGGTAGCAGTGAGGTTGTGTGATGGGGACACCAGTTCCTGGGAGATGGCAGATCTACTGAGTAACTGGCTCAGGGCTGTGAATCCACTCCTCTCTGCATAAGATTTTAGAACCAGTCCTCCTGTGTATGTGCTATGTATATGCTCAGATTTACAACGAAAACAGAGTTCATTCCCTTGACAGATTAAGGTTAGGTATGACAGTTACTGTATTACTGTTAGCTTATGGAGTGTGAGATGAATGAAGTATGTCACTGCATTTGTGTATCCAGATTATTTTGGTTGTTCCATGCAGAAAATAAATAAAGTCTGAAAAAGTGTATCAGCTGACTTGAGATCAGGACATTTCCAGCTGTCTGCCTTCTAGCCAAGATGATGTCCAAAACATATTAGGAGACTCCCTTTCTTGCTCTATACTTTCTTCAGAAGTGATATATATATATATATATTTTTTATTTTTTTATTTTTTTTTCTGTGAGTCCAAAATTGCCCAGCAATAGTCACAGCTTGTGTCTATTTCTCAGGAACTAAATATCTCTTGTGGTTACATGTTTGCAAAGCATAATTGGAAAAGTCATCCCAGGTCACTCCTAAACCATCAAGAAATGTTGACTCCATAGATGTCGTAGCAGAAATCTGGGACCATCATTTCTCTTCTAAAGCTAACCTGTGGAGAAGGTTGCCTTTATCTTGGACACTGAATTTTATTTCCTAAAAAAAAAAAAAAAAAATCAGAAAAATAGCCTCTAGATCACTGTTTAAATTGACAATTCAGTCTTCCAATTCTTGTGTTTCCCTAGTGAATGACCTACTTACAACAGGATATACCAGCTGTTGTTTTCTCCAGAATGTTCCTGACCACAACATTTTTTCTGAATGCATAAAGCTTTAATTGTTCTTACTTTGCACTATGTCTGAAGACTTATTTACAGACTACATTTGAGCGGGTTTTAATTTTATTATTTAGGATTGTTGCTGGCATAGCTCTTGAATTTTAATGATTATAGGGCAATGCAAAGTAATCAAGAGCATACCTTTAATATTTTGGTTTGTTTTATTAATAGAAATTATATATATATGCAACTACTTCATCATGATTCACTGAATCTTACTATATAATCACTAATGAAAGATTCTCCATTAAAACTTCTTCCTTCCTTGTTATATTATTTCTTGTATGCTCTAGATAGGTGTGTAATTTATTATATTTCCTGTAATTTTCTAGAAACTGGCTATCATCCCATTCTCAGGCAGATTACTGAAATCATCTCTTTTTTCTTTTATGTTCACAAACTCTGACTCTAAGCATGTAGAACTTTTTTTCAGTACTGTATTTAAAATGTACAGCATACAGTCACCATTCATTTTAAATTATATGCTGGAATAACTAGTTCATGCCTGATGATACAGTATCACACAAGGAGAATTTTAGTATCATAGCTGCATGTTTCCAGAAATAAACTGGGGGGTCTCAAAGAGTTTTTTAAGAGGCAAGTTAGGATTTTATTTCTATCTTGCAGGTTAGAGTGGGCAAAGGCATGAAACTAGTTTATCTGATTCAAATTCCTTTCTCCTCAAAAATTATTTTAAAAGGGCAAGCTAGTACTTTTAATGGGTATTAAAGGAATTCAATCTTTGAAATAAAGAAACACTTTTTTTGTGTTATTGGCTTATTATCTTGTTATCTATGTATTTCATTGCCTACACAGAAACAACTACCAAATCCCTCATTGACTGGTAAAGAAAACACAATACTGGGAGGTGCAGCAATGACATCTCCGTAGGGTGGCTAAGATAAACTTAGCACATGTCCTGAAAAAAAAAATTTTTCTCTCCCAATTCTTCATGCAGATTTTTTTGTTTGTTTGTTTAAACTATGCTAATATTGCCCTGGTGGAAATTAATTCTAAAACTAATGCTTTTAAATCAACAGAAATCTAGTTTTCAGCTAAAATGCTCATCCTG